CCCATCATATCCCACACGTGCTCAATTGGAGATAAGTCGGGAGATCTTGGTGGCCATGGTAACAATGTGACATCATTATGTTGAAAGAAGTCAATTGTGACTCTTGCAACATGTGGTCGGGCATTATCTTGTTGGAAAGTTGGATCTGCCAGGGTGTCAAGATAGGGTAAAAGATGGGGTTCTAGAACTTCGTGGATATAACGCTGCGCGTTCATGTTACCTCTGATGAAGGTTAAAGGTGACCTGGAACCATAAGCTATAGCACCCCAAACCATAACTCCAACAGTGTGATGAACATGTCTTTCAACAAAAAACTGTGGATTCCTCCTTTCACCACGTCGCCTTCTAACCCTGGCACGACCATCGTGCATGCCTAAACAAAATCGAGACTCGTCACTAAAGATAATACTGTTCCATTCCTGATCCCAGAGTGACCGTTGTCTGCACCACTCAAGGCGATTACGTCGGTGTTCTCGAGTTAAAGGGAGGACCCAGTGTGGGCGGTATGAAAACAAGCCAAAACTGCTCATTCGTCGGTAAACACTTCGCATGCCAATTGGTCTTCCGTGTTCTGCAAACCGTTCATTTGCAATGGACCTGGTAGTGGAGAAACGGTCCCTTAAGGCGAATAATCTTAGGCGGCGATCTTCACGGTCTGTTGTTCTACGGCGGCGTCCAGTGCCCCTTGCTCTTTGCGTACGGCCTTCTCGAAGACATGTCTAACAACACCTAACCACAGTGTCTACACTTCTTTGCACTCTAACTGCAATTGCCCGAAAAGAAAGTCCAGCTTCCCGAAGTCCCACTGTACGGCCCCTATCAAACTCACTAAGTTGACAAAATCGTACAGGTCTCCGTACTCTAGGCATCCTAACCGATCGTAAAGGATGTCAAGAACCAAAATCCGCCAACGTTGATTCTTTACTACGGCTGAAATATTCATTTTTAGAGCGTTAGTGAATTAAAAAAAAGCAGTATAAAAACCGGAATGTCCAACTGATAAGGCTGAAAATTTTTTCACTTGTTATTTACAATAAGATAAATACATTCACCAACTTTTATAAAAATAAAACCATTTAAACTGGGTGTTCGGATTTATATGTCACTTAGTATAATTACTTGTTTTTTTTTCTCAATGACTTGATTGTTCAGCTTTGACAACGAATGGAAGCTGAACATCTATCCTCTGTACAAGATATAAGACAGCACAAAGTGCTATGTATTACCAGAATTGTGTGCGCTTTGCTCTTTTAACTATCAACGATTAGCTAGGACTCCGTACCTTATAACCAAAATATGCTATGTATCATTGAATTTATATTTTTTGTTTACTTAATTTTGCTCTAATTTCAAGGTAGAGGCTTCTAAAAATATATGTAACTCGCAATTCTTCTATTACAAAGATAATAACAGATCTCACCTTAGGATGCCATATATGGAAGATTCCAGGATCCGTGGCCCGAATGACCTTCATGTTGCTCCTCACATATTTTCTGTACAGCATCACGTCTTCGCCTCCCCAGCCCACAATGTCCTCATCAAAGCCACGGACTTTCAGAAAATCCGACCTGGAATAGGAATATGTCTTTTAGAAACTTTACTAATTGCTTTTCCGATGGAAAATAATGAGTTTTACTTCGGTTTTCTGTACTATGAGAAATACCATTTTCCTTCAACAGTAAGTTTTCAGCTAATGGTCAGCAGAGCAATTTGTGATTAGAGCTTTTCTTGTTAGCCTCCGATCATTATGTTTGGTTGTTTTCTTATGATGTTTTGTCAATTTGAAGAGGAATTTTTACTTTGCTGCTTCTTATACTCTCCTCTCGCTTCGAAATACTGGTAAAAATAGATAAAGTTTCTTATAATTTGAGTACTTTATTTTACGTGTTAGGAGAAGTTCATTTGTTTATTTTATCGATGTTTGGTCTTTTTGAATAGTTCAGAAGGTATAACATAAATTAATTAGGCTAATGATTCCTTAGTTGTACCTGGAAAGGTTTGGTGAAGTTGGTAACTAAAAGATTTCGATGTCTGCGAATTTCACTTTAAAACTTATTATTATTATAATTTCCATTCGCTTGGTGGTGGTATTGGAAGCTTTGCAATCTAAAACAGTACTTACAATATCTTTGCTCCAGCCCCTTGTACGGTAAAAACAATATATGACAAACTAAAGGAGATACTATTCCCTAAATTTTATGTACCTAACATTTTTGTGGAATGGATAGCGAAAGAGTGCAACACCGTTTACTCTAATACAAATGCATGGGTAGTCAAATGACAGTTTCAACGGGGACATCATACTCGTATCTTTTTTGTGAGTTGGACTGTTTCGGCAAGCGAGCCGGCATATATTCCATTACATTTTCCCACCCGTTTTCCAATATGACCACACGGGCAACATGTATACAAATTAGCAAAGTGAACATTTGCAGGGACTACCGCGAACCATTACAAAAGCAGTGGTGACGAAAGCTTATTAAAACGTTCGTATTAGTATTAACTTTGCGGAAACTGTCAATAGTAAAAAAATGTTAATCATGTAAATTGTAGAAAATGTAGTCTTGTCTAAATCATAAAGCTACATCTTCATCTTCAGCTACATACTTCATCGTATACTGAGTAACAGGCATGATTCAAAAAAAAATTGATTTTGGGCATCCAGCCGAGTAGTCTATAGCTTTGATCTCTGACAAGAAAGTTGGTTGATACTCGTGCGGCAGGGTTATTACATAAAAAACCTAAAAAAAAATCGATGAAATGTCAACTTGTTGATTAGATAGGTCCTAGCAAATAGCTCATTTGGCTTTTGCTCGGTTTGAGCGCTGTGAGCGTCATCTAAGGAGGAATAAATAAACGAGACGCTCAATGACCCAGCACGCTTTGTTGGTTGCAGAGTACCGACACAGTCTGTAGGGTAAGAACTGCTTCAGTACCAAGATAGCATCTGGATGATTGAGTATTGGTTGTATTGATTTGCATGTGTGTAAAATCAGTGATACTTGCTGTGTGAGAAAATAATTACTGAATATGCTGTCAATAAAGTAAATATATGTGCCCGACGGGTTATTTTACGTTGTCCTTTCTGAAGACAGGTTATGTTCAAAGTTGTAAGTTACGATTTCTTATGATTTCTTTTGTGTTGTGTTTTCAAAGAAATACGGGAAATCACCACCGCGCCCGCATTGTGTGTAATTACTGCTAAAATGTATATAAACTGTCATTCGACAGCGTACAGTGAAAATAGTTATCTTATCTCTCTCATTTTTGAAATTTAACCAAATTTGCATATGTAATTCCCAGAATGGATAAGAAAAAGTGAATGCGCAACTAATTTGTAGCTTTGAATCTCAAGTGAGTGTATTTGAGACAAGAATTCAATGGAATTATCATCAACACAAATTATTAGCTCATAAATGTACTACGCATTGCCGTTACCTACAGTATGCCATCTCTGTGGCAGATTTTACATCACATCAGAGCCAAACATTGATAATTGTAGCCCCATGACGTTTAGGCAACACGTACGACTACAAAACGAGTTCACAACATGTCCATCAGCTACGGCTAAGTTATCATCTTGTACAAAAACCTTCATAATATTACAAAAAAACCCATATAATGTCAAAAAAAAATTACATAATATCACATTTCAAGATACGTAATACCCGATACCCCCATACTTCACCAAAGCTCTCATCCGTACATAAAATGCTTACCATGAAATTTGTAGAAAATGAGATCTTGCGTAAGTCGTAGAGCTACTTTCATCGTATAGACTTATAGAGGAAAAAGAAAAAACACAAGAAAAACACTGTTTCTGGGTGTCATTTACCAGTACAGCGATCCGGGCGACAAGTGTACAAATTAGCAAGGCAAATGCTAGTGACGATTACAGAAAAACATTACAAAAGCAATGGTGCTTGAAATTTCCTAAAACGTTCCCGAAAAAAAACACCTTATTGTTGGATCAGTCAATGATTTCCTCATATTTGAATTAGTGTAAGCTTTGCCAAAGCTCACAATCATACAAAAAATGTGAATCATATCAGTTGCAGAAAATGTTTAATCTAAACCAGGGCTGTCCAACATACGCTGTTCAACTCCTTTCTTGCGGCCCGCTTCACGGGACATGTATACATCACATGTATAAATTACTCTCAAATACCGAATATGCACAATTCTTAGATTAACCATAAAATACAATAACATGTGACGCCACTGGCGACTGATAGCAGGCCGCAGCGAATTTACTGGAAATTGGACCGATCTCTCGATCATCCCCGAATATTTGAGAAGCCACGGGCGCGTATATATGAAGGTTGAATCAAGCGGGACAGGCAGTTTTGTTTTCTAGTGCTAGTGCGTTTCAGTACACAGCAACTCTACAGCCTTTTTAAGTGTAATACTCCAGGAAATATGTCTTCACAGAAACGAAAAATAACGAACGAACATCGAGTTTATAATGACCGTTGGGAATCAGAATATTTAATCTCAATCAATAATAATAAACTTCAGTGCATTGTTTGTATGCAAGTACTAACGGTTCCTAAAGAATAGAATATGAAACGACATTACACTACGTTACACGAGAAAACGTTTCGGCAATATTCAGGGGACTCGAGGCAGGCTATCATAACGGAATACAAGAAAAAACTAAAACAATAAACAAGTTTTTTCAAAAAATCTGACTCTGATAACAAGTGCAGTATTGCCGCCTCTTACAAAATAGCGCTGGAAATTGCCAAAGCAAAAAACCTTTTAGTGATGGCGTGCTTATCAAAAGGTGTGCAATAGAAATGGCGAAACAATTCAATGAATTAAAAGTTGCCGAAAAATTTGAAACAGTCTCAGTATCGCATCAAACAATTGCAAGACCATATCAATGAACATGTAACCAAAAAATTGCGTGACGTGGTAGAAAAATGTAAATATTTTTCGCTATGCCTGGATGAAAGCACTGATCTGTCTGCTTGTAATTTTTATCCGAACTATTCAAGACGACTTCAGTGTAGCAGAGGAGATGCTTGACGTTATTCCTCTCCATGGTACAACCAAGGGTACAGATATTCTTGAAGCTGTGAATAAGTGGGTGTCAGGCTACGGAGGATTTGATAAATGTTCCTGTATTGTCACTGATGGCGCCAGAGCTATGACAGGGACTGAAATTCGATTTGCAGGACTATTGAAACAAAACAGCATCAACTGTCCTATGATACGAGTACATTGTATTGTTCACCAAGAGAGCTTATGTGGAAAATCTTTACGTCAAATAAATGTCATGAAAGTAGCTGTTAAAATAACTAATATTGGTAGAGGGGCAATCGTGCTTTGACTCACAAAAAGTTTCATGAATTTTTGGCAGAAGAGGATGCTACATATGGGAACTTGTTACTTCACACCGATGTTCGCTGGTTAAGCTCCGGAAAGTGTTTGCAACGATTTTTCGCTCTACGCAAGGAAATTCCTATTTTCCTTAAAAATGAAGTGAAGTCCGACACTACGGAACTGGAAAATCAAATGGCAGATACACAATTTTAGCAGACCTTGCATTTTTAACAGACATGACATTTCACCTTAACGAATTGAATTTGAAGCTACAAGGAAAACAGCAGAATATTGCCAACTTATTTGGACACATAAATGGGTTTAAGAATAAAATTAAGCTTTTCAAGTCTTCATTACAAAAAAATGATTTATCATTTTTTCCAAGTTGTAAAGGATTTTGAGGAAGTTTCATATTTACCTTATATACAATACATTGCAGAAGAATTCAAAAATCAATTTAGTGAAATTGAAAGCGACAATTCAGTTTTTACACAGCCACTAACAATTTCTGTTGAGAACGTAAGCAGAGCAGACCTTAAACTGGAATTGTGTGACTTGCAATCAGATCCTTTTTACCAAGGAAGAACTGAAACTGGCTTGGACTTTTTTAAGTTACTGCCAGGAGAACGATCCCCCAACTTGCGAAACTTAGGACTTACAATGGGATCAATGATGGGAAGCACGTATCTTTGCGAAAGCAGCTTTTCCAACATGAAATTTATCAAGTCAAAGTATAGATATTCCCTCTCTGATAAGTCACTTACGCAGTTACTTCGCTTATCAACAACAATATTAATGTTAATATTGATGCATTTGTATTAGAAAACCAACATCCTCAAATGTCCCACTGTTTTTTTTGAATAAATAAAAATAATAGAAAAACTATTTTGTATACCATATAGTATAGTATATACCTATTAAAACTCAGTAATAATGTTGTATAGAAAGATTTTATAATGCGGCCCTCCAAACTGCATTTTTTTTTTTGAAGTGTCCCTTGGGCCACATTAAGTTGGACAACCCTGATCTAAATCATATAGCTACCTTCATTGCATGATGAGTAAAAAATAAAGGTAAGGAAAAAAGTTGCTTTTGGGGAATACATCCAAACTCACGGAGATATTAAAATTTCCAATTTCCCCTGAACTTTCCTGGCAACGATATTATTGAGAAGTATGTAACCTGTAAAATAGACTTTTCAAAGTCAAAGTTTGCTCTTAAATTCTGCTATTTTTATTTTATAAAATTCAAGTATACTCAGTGTTACTGGCACCATCATCAAGACAATAATTCTAAATTACGTTGAAATCCACTAAAAAATACCACTTTCGATTAAAATTGGACAATTTATTAGAAAACTTTATTTATTATTTAAATCATGCTGTTAAGGCCGGCCATCAAGAATTTTGGATTCTAGCCTATGAAATATATTTATTCTTGTCCACCTCCTTCTGCGGTGGCTGGGTAAAGAGGGATATCTACCCTTTTTTTACTTTTGTCATTCTTCACTTGCCAATCCCTTGTTGTACTGTGTTGTGTACTGACCCTGGCAATAACGATGCATGACATAGAGAACTAATTCCACCAGTCCCCAATTTTTTTTTATTTAATGTGCACCCAAAGCAAATTCGCGCAAAGCTCGCTATTTTGCGGCCCTGGGGCAATAATGGTGACGATGACGTTGATAAACGCCCCCAGCGGAAATAAATATGTTATTCCAAAAGATAAATAATCCCAGTGCATGGCGGATTTGGAAACCCATACCTCGATCATAAACAATAATTCCTCTATTTATTCTGGATATGATGTAAACAGCTTCCGTTTCAATTAACTATTATTAATTACCAGTTTACTCAAAATCACAGTAAAATATGCCAATTGATGTTAATGTATTGGCTCCATAATTTCCTGTGCATCGTTAGTTCGTCGACATTTGCTGCATGATGGACTTGTTTGAAAATGGCTTGTGGCATAATTTGCAACTACTGCAAACTAAACAACATTTAGGTTTGTCCGTGCCGAACATACATCCCTTGATCGCCATGCCTTGCAGAGTAACATTTTAGACTTGCCAAATGTAACTTATTTTCTGAAAGAGGGGCACTGAGTAGCATTTATTCAGTGCTTTTTAAAATCATTTTGTCTTGAAACCAAATATAGTTAGCAGCTCTGGGATATTGGACTATTGTACCACTCGGTACATCCATGAAGACTAGATAGAGGAGGGTAAACTCATAGAGTCATTGCGTCATAAATGTATTTCAGGTTTTGCGTTTGTGGCTTCTCTCTTGTGTCTTCACCCTTCTCTCTTTCATGCAGGCGTAGAGGCTTCACTTTTCAGACAGCCACACCCACATTACCAACAGTATTAGCTTCATGCGAATACGTGTCTTCCTTTATGCATTTAGCCTCCTATATCTAGTCTTCATGGGTACATCGGTCGATGTAAAATAAATGTATATCTTAGGATGAGTGTTAATCACCGAAGATGACAATTTGCTCTCATGACGTCTAAATCTATAAATTTAAGTTCTAAAACTTTTTCATCTACGAGCCCCTTCCCTCTTCAGTTGGCCCACTTCAAGATTTGTACCAAAATATGCCTTTATAAACTAAACATGACTTCTAAAATAATTTATTTTCTCAAAAACATTTTATATACACTCTAGTCGTAAAAAATACATATTTAAAATCACTTAGACCTATAACTAATAGAACATCTGAACAAATAAACAATGTGCGAATAAATGCGCGAAGTTAACAAAGCAACAATTGAAAGATTACCATTGGGTAATATCACCTTTATTTTTTATTACGGCTGAAATTCTTTGGAGCATAGTGTTAACCAAGTTTTGGCAAAAAATTGGTGTGAAACAATCCCATATTTCTTAAAGCTTCTGTCTCCGTGCGGTGATTGTACGCGCAGGATGTTGTCGTAGAACCTTTTTCATCTCGTGCAACAAAGTTTTAATAGGTGACAGATCTGGACTGCTAGAAACCCATTTCAAAAGTGGTACATTATTTTCTTCCATTAATTTTATAGTCTTTTTTGAGGTATGGTACGCTGCACCATCTTGCTGAAACACAAAATCTTGGCCGGATGTCAAACAATGTTCCATCACTGGTAAAAGCGATTCTTCTAAAATTGCCAAATATTTGTTTGTATCCACATTTCCATCAATAAAATGAAGTTTTCCTACTCTTTTTGATGACATACTGTCCCAGACCATAATGGACGCTGGAAATTTCACTTTTCTCTTCAGACAGTCAACATGAATGCTTCATTTTTTTTTGCGAACAACTCTACTGCGACTGTCACCAACACAAACTTCGAATCGGGCCTCATCATTCTATTGTATTGCACACCATTATTGAGGTGTCCATTGTCTATGTTCTTTAGCCCATCTAAGCCGATTTTTCTTTTGCAGTGGAGTTAATAGTGGCTTTTCTTTGGCCTATAAACAGGTTGTGCAACTTTAGGGTTTTTACTTCACTTTTTTAGAAAACTTACCTTTGCAAGAGCTTAATCCCAGTTTGTGGGCATCTCTATGAGTTGTGGACCTCGAAATTCTCCTTCTAACAGCGTCACTCCATAGAGCAATTAATTGTAAATAATTGGCATGCCTGTTTTTCACGGTTATTCTTCTTAATGCTCTTCGGTCGGCATTTGTGATATTACTTTTTTTCACATATCGTTGCTTAATATTAACTGAACCAGGTACGTTATATCTTCTAACAATATTCCTCACACTGTACCGCGATAAGTCTAACAAAGTTGCAATTTCCGAGTTTGATTTCCCAGAAATAAAAATTTAATTATCAGTAACCGAATTTTCTCACTAATAAACTTTCCTCTACCCATTTTGAAATCCTTAATTACCCAAAACTATTTTAAACGTATTCTGACAGTTGTGATTAATAAAAACTATTGTAATGGCTTTTATTTTTCACAGCCACCTATGCGTTATAGACTTATGTATTTTGCATTGAAATGAAAATAGGTTGATATGCTGTAATTGCAACATGTGTTATTTTTATGCTGCAAATTTGATTAGGGAGTGATAAAGTTGGTGTTTTCTACTATATATTATCAAAATATTCATTGATAATATTTTAAACCTATAACACCCTGCTACATTTTTATTACTTGTGTTTAATAAGAAAAAAACTAAGATTTCAATAGTTGGGCCAACTGAAGTGGGAATGGGCTCGTACATTTGTGGCCTCGTTTGGGGTTAGTAAAATAAGAAGATAGGTCTAGAATGTCGTTGTGGCAGTTCACGTCCCGGTTACTGAAGTTACTTTTCGTTCTGGACATATTTGGAGGTTTCTACTTCCACTAGGAAGAGACTCAAGATCCAGGGAGATTTCAAGCAATTTGCATCTACGCAAATACACTATTTTCTCGTAGACTTACGATTTCATCGGTAGAGAGAAATTTGAGATAATCCAAGAAGGTCCACACACTTTTAAGGAGATTCAAGAATTTGAAGTTGCCGATAACTGAAAATAGATTAATGGAAGTATACAATAATCTCGATATATCTGAAACGTTATATCCAACGGAATCGATAGATTAGAGGGTTCTATTAGTTTACATTGCATTGCCAGAATTACTCTGTTTAGTGCATACCTTTGACTCATTTGTCTACCAATGCCGACTAAGGTGACAGCGTTGTATCAACATGATAATAAAACTAGCCGGTGAACAACTCTACCTTTATTAGGCTTGTGTCGCTCCTTATGTAATAAGTACCATTTCTTTAAATCATCTAACACTACAATTATCTGCAAAACTTCACACTTTTAAATATTAACACTGAATATACGAATTTAATATCTGTAAAGAAATTGTTCGTCTGTCAAGTGCACATTGATCCTCACTATATACCATGAGAATTAGCTGACAAACTGATCCGTGACTGAATCATTTTACCTAGTCTGAATTCGTTGCTTATACCCGATTCATGCATCGACTCTGTTACCCAACTTTTTGCAGAATAGGTG